GGACCTCCTGATGGCCCCTGGTATTCTTGGCCACTGTGTGACAGAGTGTTGGACTGGATGGGCCATTGGCCTGATCCAGCATTGGCTTCTCGTATGTTCTTATGTCTGGGGAAAGTGATGCTCTGTATTCTTGGTGCTTGGGGGGTGGGGGCAACAGTGGGAGGGCTCCTAGTGTCCTGGCCCCACTGCTGGACCACCTGATGGCACCTGGTGTTTTTGGCCACTGTGTGACAGAGTGTTGGACTGGATGGCCCTTTGGCCTGATCCAATATTGGCTTCTCGTATGTTCTTATGTCTGGGGCAAGGGATGCTCTGTATTCTTGGTGCTTGGGGGGGGGCAACGGTGGGAGGGCTTCTAGTGTCCTGGCCCCATTGCTGGACCTCCTGACGGCACCTGGTATTTTTGGCCACTGTGGGACACAGGATGGGCCATTGGCCTGATCCACCATTGGCTTCTCTTAGGTTCTTATGTTCTAACCCTACCCCCCCCCATCCCCTAGGTTGCCAGTTTCTGGCAGGGGTTCCCCTGATTTTCGGGTCTTCTGCCCGCCACCGGCCAGCTAGCTGGCGAGGGAAACCCCGCCCCCAAACAGCAACGTCATCCACTCTGGTCTGAGGGCAAAACTCTATGGTTCGAAGCTGGTTTAACCATGGAGTTTTGCCCCCAAACCAGAGCGTCGCTGTGTGATGTTCCCGGCACGATGATGTCACTTCTGGGTAACGCATTGCATCAGGGACCCTCCTGCCCACTCACTTGCTGCGACACCCATGCCCTGTGCCACTGGGGAAAGGCACAGGCTGTGAGCACAGGCAGTGGAAGTGCTTGTGAGCAGACAAGGGAAGGAGGGCCCGGTGGCGGGCAGAGGAAGGGAAGGAGGCCCTCGGAACTCTCTGCCCAGGGCCCCCCGAAACCTAGAACCGGTCTTGCCCCATTTCCTCCCTTCCATACTTTGTCAAAGTTCCTCTGCTTCTTGTCCAGGGCGGCCGCGGCCGCATTCGAGCGCTCCACGTCCACCATGAGGTCGTCGATCTCGTTCTGCAGGCGGTGTTTGGTCTTCTCCAGGGAGGAGCACTTGGCGTTCACAGCCTCCACGGCCTCCTCGGCGTCCTGCAGCCGCTGCGCCAGCTTCTTCCTGACAC